ACATTTATTCCTCTGTTTCAAATTCAGGGCTATAGGATTTTACTGAATTTCTTCAATCTTAGATTTATTTATATCATTTGTATATATCTGAGATAACTTACGATGATAACACTTACTTAGTAACTCATTTGCTTTTTCCAATTATATATCCACAACAGCTTCAGAATAGCAATAGCACCACCAGTATGATTTCTCAAAACAGCTGTTTGCTTCTCTTTGTATTTAGGGTATATCACATTAGAGCTTTGAATTCAAGTTCCTGTCTTTTAACGTTCCTTAATAATGCCTTTTTGAGTGGTTATGCCACCAAATGGATATACTTGTCATTTCACTTAATTTTTAAAAAGTTTCTTTTGGGTTGGTGGAGTGGCTCAAGTGGTAGAGTTTCTGCCTAGCAAGTGTGAAGCCCTGAGTTCAAACTCCAGTACTGCCAATAAAAGTTCCTCTTTTAAAATTTAATTTTATTTTTTAATTACATGAAATAGTAGTTACAAAAAATGTGTAAAGTAGCCAAGATAATCTAAGAAGTCTAGTTTCTATCCTTCATTCCTCTACCATAATTGTTTATTTCCTTTAGGTAAAAATTATTCTTCCATAACTTTTCTCCCCGCCCCCCCCCCATTTAACTACATATACTTGCAGTTATTCTATATTTACGTATAGAGGGGTCCTCATTTATTTTGTAATGTATCTTAGTTTATTTAACCTGTTTCTTATTTGTGGACATTTAGATTGATCAGTATCATGAGTAATCCTGCAGTGATTAGCCTTGAATGTACATCTTTTCTGTTCTTGACAGTTTTCTTTGGGAATGAGCCCTAGAAATAGAAGAACAAATGACATATATAATTTTGGAGCAACACTCCCATAGTTAGTAGTTCTATATTATGGATTCTCATTAGCACAGTATGAGAGTGCCTGATTGACCACAGCTTCACTGGCAGACTGTTGTTATGAAATGTGTCTCTTTTTAAATCTGGTTATACTCCTTGTTCTGTAGTTTTTCTTTGATTGAGAATAGCATGGCCATTACCATTTTCTTTTGTGTTTGTAAGGCATATCTTTTTTCATTTTAAAAAATCTTCCTGGGACTTAATGTTTAAGTGGATTTCTTATATATATATATCCTACTTAGGTCTTTTTATTGTTGCTATGTTTCTTTGGTTTGGTTTTGAACTGTACAGTTTCTTTCAGCTGGACTATTTATATACTACTAATATAATTATAATATAATTATTGATAGGATTGGATTAAGTCTACCACCTCTATACTTTGTTTTCTTCTTTTGTTTGTTCCTTTTTCTGTCTCATTTCTGTGTTCCTTGGAATTGAATAATAGTTTCATTTTATTATCTCTACTCTTGGCTTATCTACACTCAAGTAAAAGTATACTATTCAATGTGTATAACTAAAAAAATTCTTATAGCAGCATATTTCCATGCTCTCCTCTTTCAAGCTTTTACACTTTTGCTGTAATAAACAGTGGACTGTCTGTATCTGTGGGTTTGTGTCTGTGGATTCAACCAACTATAGTTTGAAAAGTATTCAGAGAAAGGGGTGGGGATACAGCTCAGTGGTACAGCTCTTGCCTAGCATGTGTGAGGCCTTAGGTTTGATTTCCCCAACACTATAAAAATAGATTTAGAGAAGATAATTGCACCCATACTGAGTATGAACAGACTCTTTTTTTTTGTCATTATTCTCTAAAGAATCCAATAAAACAACAATTTACATTACAAATAATCTAGAGATGATTTAAAGTATTTGGGATGTTTTATGGAGGTTATATGCAAATACTCATTTTATATGAGTGTTTACAGATTTTTGTATCCAAGGAGAGTACTGGAAACAATACTCCATAGATACTGAGCAGTTTCTATATTTTATTATAAATGCTACAATATATTTTTGTTTTAGATAATTTATTGCTTTATTTTATTTTTTGGTGGTACTTGGGTTTGAACTCAGGACTTCCTGTTTGCTGGGCAGACACTATTGCTTGAGTCATGCCTGCAGCCCCCTCTCCCTTTTTTTCTGGATATTTTTAAGGTTAGGGTCTTGTTTTTTACTCAGACTGACCTGGACCATGATCCTCCTATTTCATGCTTTCTGCCATGGCTGGGATGACAGGTGTATGCTACCATGTCCATTTTTTTTCCCCCATTGAGATGGGGGTCTCACAAACATCCTGACCATCACCCCTAACCAAGAGCTTGCCAGGAACTGTGATCCTCCTGATCTCAGCCTGCTGAGTAGCTGAAATGACAGGCATGAAGCATTGCCCAGTGCCCAGCTTACTTTATTTTATCTCAGGTTGGTAATGACAGATTTCTTTTACACATTATTGCCATTTCTGTCATTCTTCATTTTTTTGAATGTCTATCCATAATTTTATCTATTATTATTTTTCTTCTTGAACTATCTTTTACATTTCTTGTGTATTTTTGCTTTCAGTGAATTGTCTCAGCTTTCTTAAGTCTGAATATTTTTTCCCCATTTTTTTTTGTTGTTGTTGTTGGGGACGGTACTTGGGCTTGAACTTAGGGCCTTGTGCTTGCTAGACAGGCACTCTACTACTTGAGCTACTCTGTCAGCTTTATTCCTCATTCTTGAAAGATTTTTTTTTTGCACAGTACTGGGGCTTGAACTCAGGGTCTTCACCTTGAGCCACTTCACCAGCCCTTTTTTGTGAAGGATTTTTCTAGATAGGGTCTCGTAAACTTTTTGTCCTGGTTGGCTTCAAACTGTGATCCCCTTGATCATAGCCTACTGAGTAACTATGATTACAAGCTTGAGTTACAGGCACCCAGCTTGATTCTTCTTTTTCACTTAATACTTAAAAGATAACCCCATTGTCTCTGGATTATATAGTTTCTAAGGAAAAGTTTTTTTTTTTCCAGTCCTGTTTCTGTGTATCTAATGTTTTTCTCTTATACCATCTGTTTTTAAGATACTTTGTTTACAACTGATTTTTATCAGATGGGTAATGCTAGCCATGGAATGGTTTAATTTATGTTTTCAGCTAGAGGTTTATTGAGATTCTTGGATTTGTGGGTCCATGGAGTTTGGAAGAATTCTGGCTATTACTTCTTCAAATACTTTTTTCTATTTTCCCTTCTTTGTTTTCTAAGGCTCCAATTACTTATATTATTGAGTACTTGATATTGTCTTATAAACCACAGATATTATGTTCTTATTTTTTCCTGCTCTTTTTTCTCATTTTTGTTTCTGTTTCTACTCTTAAAAGTTCACTGATACTGTCTTAAATATTATATAATCTACTTAAATCTCATCCATGTATTTAAAAAATTAGGGCCTTTTACATTTTTTCTCTTTGGGTCTTTTTTGTATTTTTCATTTCTGTTCCCATGTTTGTGTTTTCCTTTACCTTTTTGAGTACATGGAACATATTTATAACAGATGTTATAAAGTCTTTTCTACTTACATCACTGTGCCATTGTTGGGTCTGTTCTGTTGATTAACTTTTTTCTGGTTATGTATTAGATCTTTCTTTTGTGACTAGTGGAAATAGGAGCTATCAAGCACTGTGTGTGCATGTGTGTAGGAAATTTTCTGTTTTGTTGCATCCCAGTACTCTTTTCCTTGTTTCAGGTAGTTTTTTTCTTATGCATGACATGGTTCATTTTCTAGCCAAAGATATTACCCAAACTCTCACTGTCTTTCATTCTTTGTAGTTCCTTGTTTTTTTGGTAGTCTACCCTAGAAATCAAAGTTACCTTGTCCTCCCTGAATTTCCATCACTGTCTCTCTCAGTTCGGGCTCCATTTTGGTTACTTTTTCATGCTACATCTTGGAAACTGCCTCTTTCTAGTAAACTGGAGTGATGTAAAGCACTTCTAGCTTTTAGGGATTACAGTATTGCTACCTATTATCGAATATATGAAACTTTTATCTTATTTTCTGGTTGTTTAAGCCAGGGAGAGTAAATGGAGTCTTATACTACCATAATCTGAAGCAGGAGTCCCCTTACAGTTTTGTTGTTTTTTCAGTGAAGGTAAACATTAAAAAAAAAAAAACATTTCAGGGTAATTGATCATCTTTTAAAGAGCTTTCTACCTTTTTATATCCAGCCCATTTTTCTATGATATTATTGATCTTTTTAGTCTCTAGCTTTAGAAGTGCTTTGTGTTAGAGATATTCTCTTTCTCTTTAGTATAAAATGTTAAATTTCCCCTTCAGTTCTTCATTTGCCTTTTTATTATACTTTGCTATTGGTATCCTTACCAGACTCTACTGTTACTGTAATGGATCTTTTACCTCTAAATTCTTAATATTACAGCACTGGATTGGAATTGGGCAATGAAGAGGGTTGCTTTTGGTGTGAGATGTTTGAATAATAGTTGAGTTAAAAGTTCATGCTTTATCCACTATTCATTTTAAGAGTTTTGAGTAGTACAGTGCTATGAAGCATGCATGCTCTTCCAGGTAGCTATGTGAGTCACTCCTTACCTCCCTCAGAACTCTTGCTCAAGTTTTATGTTATTCAGAGAGGGCTTCTGTTTAAAACTGTAATACTATTTTACTGTTCTTTACTTCCTAGCCCTTTCCTCCTTTTCTCTTTTTTTTTCCACTCCAAAACAGTTATTATGTGTGTTTGTATGTAAGTATGTATGTATGTATGTAATAATTTGTCATTTCTTTAAAATGGTAGTAGCATGAAGGATTCAGAGCCTTTAATAGTGCTTGGTACATAACATTGCTTAGTAATTATTGGTTAGTCATATTTCCCTTTATGTCAGTTAGAGGCAGAAACTTGAGGAAGAAGGAACTGTCCAGGTCCTGTAATAGTGGTGTATGTGTGGGTGGTAGAAACTTAGCTGGAGTGTTAGCAGTGAGAGTGAAGGCCTAGTGGGAATACTATTAAAAAGGAGTAGGATCACAAGCCTTATTTGTGTTTGTAGTTGTTGAAAATACTTGCACTTGGATTATATTTTTAATACAGGAATTTATTAAGTAAAACTATTGACTAGTGAAAATGAGTCTTAGTAGGTTTTGGGGACTTTTTTTTCCTTCTCACAAAGTATCTAGTAGAAGTCATACTAGTTTTTCTGGCTTACAGTTTTCCTTTTATTTTCCTTTTTAGAGCCTTGCTTCCTGTTTTACATCACAAATCTAAAAAAGGACCCCCCCGTCAAGCCAAATATGCCATTCATTGTATCCATGCAATATTTTCCAGTAAAGAGACCCAGTTTGCACAGATATTTGAGGTAATGAGAATTTTTTATTTCATATGTCTTTGTTTAAAAATAAATATTGTTGATTTTGTAGAATGCTTGCATTTGGAGATGCTCTTTTTGCATACTATCGGAATTTGAATCTGTAAAATCAACACTGATAAGTGAAAATACCTGAACTATTCAGATGTTTAACTCTAATTCAGATTCAGAAACCAAATATTATATAATACTTTTTGACTTTTTTTTTTATATATTTGTAGTTGGAGACTTTTTCATTGAGAGGAAATTATATTTGCAATCATAGTTATTGATAGTAACAGATTTATTATTCTCTTAGTTTCTAGGTTCAAAAAATTGGAATTCTGTTTGAGTTGCTACAAAAATACAGGTTTTATAAGTCAATACTAATTGGTAACAAGGCAAATAAATTTACACTTTTATGACTGACCTAATTATGTGCCAGAAATAAAGCCTGACTTTTGTATATATACTTCATATTGTTTTCTGTATACTTTAAATAACTTTTACCCAAGCATTGCAGTTTTATTGTAACCTATTATAACTAAGGACTGTCTAGTATTGTCATTACAAATGAGAGCTAGACAGAAAAATCTATAAAATACTAATTTATAATTTTAGCTCAGGAGCTTTGAATGAAGTCAAAACAATTTGGAAATCATGCTAAAGCTACTTACCAGAAATACTTTTAACTTACTATCTTTGAATTAGAAACTTTTATGTTAATTTAATCGTGTTTTTGTACATTATGTTAAATGTCCAAGAAGGAAGAAAAGTAGCATTCTTCATCTTTCAAACAGCATCTTTGCTGTAGATGGCAAATATGGGGGTATTTTCTCAGTCCATGGCTGGTTTGTTGGTTATTTATTTATTTCTTTTACTGGGTTTTGAACTTTGGGCTTTGCTTGAGCCATGTCCTCTGTCCTTTTTGCTTTAGTTTATTTTTCGGATAGTTTCTCACTGGCCTCAGATTGACCCTCTTACTTCTGCCTCCCAATAGTGGGGATTATAGACATTCATCACCATGCCTCTTTTTTTGAGGGGGGGTGGGGTTAAGGTCTCCCTATCTTTATTTTGCTTGAGCTGGCTTCAATCTTTGATCCTCTCATCTCCTTCCTAAATACCTGTGATTATGGGCATACACCAATACACATGGCTGTAGTCTGTTTTTGAGTATGGTAATGGCTTCAGTAAATTAAGGGCCAAAAAAATTAATGTTCATAGCTGTTTTTCTTTTGTGGGGGGAGGTACTAAGGGGTTTGAATTTAGGACCTTGTACTTGCTATGCAGGTGCTCTGCCAGCCTAAAATTCATGTTGATTTATAGGAAAGGTTTGTTTTTCTTAATTTCTTTTTTTTCTTTTAATGAAAACAATGAGAAAAATTCTGGTATAATTTCTATTTGTAGGGTAGTTTTATATTCATTTTGGTATTACATCTTTTATTTCACCTTGACAGGAACTCCAACTGTTCCTCCTACTGTAAGGTGTAAGGTTTGCTGGCTTTCTGAGAAAAGCTTTTCTAGAGATCGCTGGCCTTTTTGAGTTGTTCCTGTTCATGATCTGACCAGTAATTTCACTTCCTAAATGATTTTATTAACCTAATATGGAAAATTATCAAGCTCATTATAATAAATTAACTGAAAAAATTATTTGTGCTATCATATTTTTGCTTATAACAGAAACAAACTGGTAATTCATCTAGATATTCAGTGGAAGGAAGTATTGAGGGAAGTCATCAAGAGTAGCAAACATAAACTCATTTAAATATATTTTTAACTAAATGAGACCTCGTATTTCCCTAATATGTTGGGAAACTACAGTGTTACATTACTTCTCACACACTCATTTTAAATGAGTATATGAAGAGTTTCTTCATTCTTTTGTCGTGGCAAAATGTGTATCAGTGGCATATAACTGATGTGCAATGCTGGAGAGTAGAACACCAAATTTTCATTAAAATGCAGCATTAACCTTTTGATAGGTAATGTATTCACTTGCTTTAAAATTAAAAGATGCAAAAAGAATACATAGTGAAAGACCTTCCCCCCCAAGCCACTTTTTAGTTACCTTTCTAGGGGCAGCCATGTTGTCAGCTACTAATATGCTTTTCCAGAGATATTTTATTCAAATATGCATGCACACACACATGCTCAAACAGTTCTGTCTCCCTTCCCCATTACCCTTGTGCTAATAATAGCATATTTTAGGCACTCTTCTGATTTTTCCTACTTTTAAAGGTTAACAATAAACTTTGGAAATCATTTTAAATGAGTTCATGAAGAGTTTCTTCATTTGTTAGGCAGAACGTTACGTTAATGGATTGATTTCCAATTTCAATAATAAAAATCATTCTATGTGCTACAGTATTTACTATTTGAGGCTGTAATTAAAAGACACCCAAAGTTCAATTGACTAGACATAGGAAAAGCTTGAGGTGTTTGGATGGCTTCCTAATTAATTGCAGAGGGACACAGATTATTTTTGACTAGGGGCTCCACCTTAAGCACATTGGATCGTTGGCATTAACCCAGCCCGTGAATAAAGAGAGAGCCAGTGTAGAAAACACCCTGAGTATATCTGCCTCAGTGCAGGTGTGGAATGCTTCACCTTCACTCCCATTCCCTTGATCAGAACTCACACATCCTCACCTGACTGCAGAGAAAGTTATAATGTGGAGTCATCTTTATGTCTAGGAAGAAGCAAAGTGGGTATTTATGAGCCCTAACATATTCATATTACATGGTCATAAGATAATAAGCTATATTATGAAATTCTCTACACTGACATGTTTACCTACTTCTAAAATATCACTTGGTCAAAACTGAAAGTCTTTATAAACTTAATGTCTTTTAGACATAGATAACTTATAGAAGTCTAGGTGTAAGCTTGAGTTACTACTTATACCATGTAATATATGGAAACTTGTATTTTTTATAATTTGAAGATGAAATATGTGTACAGTTTGTTTGCCTATATAGAGAGTTGGATTATCCTTTCCTCCTCTCATTTTCAGCCTCTTCATAAGAGCCTTGATCCAAGCAACCTGGAACATCTTATAACACCATTGGTTACTATTGGTCATATTGCTCTCCTTGCACCTGATCAGTTTGCTGCTCCTTTGAAATCTTTGGTGGCTACTTTCATTGTGAAAGATCTTCTCATGAATGATCGGGTAATTTATATTTTTTAGATTTGTGTTCTTCATAATGTTATATTGTAAAATTTAGTATAACAAAGAAGTCAAATGACATTAATAACACTTTAGGGTACCTTTATTTTAGGTTTTCCAATTTTAAGTATGCTTTAACTCCATTATAAAATATGAACCGTCTCTTTAGTTAAGCATAAGTCTATGACTTGTAGTATAAAATGTCACCTGGTTCTACTTCAGCTTTACAGAAGATTAATTTCTTTTAAATAAATATAATATTTCAATAATTTAATATACAGAGAAAGGTTGGCTTTAAAATATATTATACGCTGTTGGAAATTAGTTCTTAAAGCACTTGAAACAAAATACATTACATTTCAGAAAAACAGTTTAATTAGAAAATGGATATTGCTTGAAACACTACTTAATAGGTATACAGGTGTACTTATTTATTTTTAAGCATTTTTATTAGTATATGATAGTTATACAGGGGGTTTTATTTCAACATTTCCATATATGTGTATATTGTACCCTAGTTTGGTTCATTCTCTCCATTAGTCTCCTTCTTTCCCCACTCCCTTTCTTAAAATGACTTTGACAGGTTTCAGTGTTCCACATTCATACATGTGTAGAAAGTGCCTCAACTATATTCATCCTCCTTTATCCTCTTCATTTACCCACCCACCCCCCAGGCTATTAGTCTCTAACATGACCTGTTTTTACATTCCTGTCCTTCATTAAGTGTTTGTTCATTGTTCTTTGGGGTTTTACTTTGGTATTTTACCTCTAAATATATTGGACTTTAATCAGTCTAAACCCCCAGGAGGTTAATTTGTATAAGGGCATCTGTTTTTAAAAATGTGCAGTTTGACTTGGGGGTGTGGCTCAAGTGGTAGAGCGGAAGGCTCTGATTTCAATCCCCAGTGCCACCAAAATATGCAGATTGACAAACCATTTCACAGAATGGTTGTCATGACTGTAGTATTCCTTTTCTTACATATGGTAGAGAATGAAAAAAGTCCTGGGAAAAAATATTGGGGAAAAAATAATGATTTTGTTTGTTTCTAGTTTGCAAGTCAGGATGTGTTTTGGCCTGGGAGAATTAAACCTTTATAGTCGCAAGGAGTTTTATTGCATGCATGTGTATATGTGTATATTTATATATATTTATACACACAGAGAGACCTGTTATATGACCAACCATCAGTTTTGGGTCTGCCATGACCTTAGCATTGTACTAAGTTCTCTGGAGAATTAAAAGAAATATGATATAAGGTTTCTTCTCTAAAAATACAGATAAATTCTTAAAATGTGTAGGTTTATTTCCATATGTGTCATATCTGTTGTTATTCTTTCATCCCATTAATATGTTTTTAATACTTTGGTACTTCAAATTGTATTATTATCAGTACATATGATTATATCTATTAATGGAATTTACTGTGATATTTCTGCATATATGTACTTTGTGCATATGTCATGTCCCTCTACCCTTCTTTTACCAGCTCCCTTCTCCCCTCCATCATCTCACCTCCATCATCTCCCCTCATGCCTCCAATTCCCAGTCCCTATTAATTCTCGTACTTTTAGTTGATTTTTTTAAAGTTTTCACATATAAAAGAAAACATGTCAAGAACAAGACCCTCAGTTCAAACCCTAGTACTGTCAAAAAGAGAAAAGGTGATATTTATCTTTCTGTATCTGGCTTATTTTGCTTAACATGATGCCTTCCAGTTCATCCATTTTCCTGGTAATGACAGGATTTTGTTTTTCTTTATGACTGAATATTTTCATCTGTTGATGGACATCTAGGCTGACTCTATATGCTAGTTATCATGAATTGTACCACCATTAATCATGGATTTGTAGGTATCTCTTTTGTTTGCTGGTGTTATTTCCTTCAGATATATATACACAGGAGTGGTTTAGTAGGATCACATGGTAGTTCTTGGTGGTGGTTGTAGTGGGAGTTGAACTCAGGGCCTCACACTTGCTAGGCAGGCCACACAGCCACACAGCCACATAGCCACATAGCCAGTCCCTATTTTTAGTTTTTGAGACCCCTCCATACTGTTTCCAAGTGTTTGTACCTACTTACTTTCCCAGGATAGTGTAAGTAAGAGTTTCTTTTTCTCCCAGTATTCACCAGCGTCACCAGCATTTGGGGAGGAGGGACAGTACTGGAGTTTGAACTCAGAGCTTTCCACTTGTGAGGCAGGTTGAACCATTCCTCCAGCCCTGTTTGCTCTGGTTATTTTTGAGATAGGGTCTCACTTTTTGCCCAGCACCACAATCCTATATATGCTTCCCACTACTGCTGGGATGACAGGTACACGCCACAGAGCCTGGTTGAGATGGGGTAATGTGAGCTTTTTGCCCAGGCTGACATTGAACTATGATCCTTCCAATCTTACCCTCCCTAGTAGCTAGGATTATAGGTTTGAGCCATTGGAGACCCGTGCATTTGTTTTTTTTTATTGCTATTTTTTCATTGCAGCCATTCTAACTGGGGTCTCATTGTAGTTTTGATTTGCATTTCCCTGATAGATAATGATATTGAACATTTTTCTTAACATTTATTGGACATTTCATATTTCTTCAGATCCTTTGCCAATTTTTCAATTGGATGACTTGTTTTTAATTAAGGTCTTTATATATTCTGTATATTAATCCTCTGTTGGATGAATAGCTGGCAAAGATTTTCTCCTGTCTTACAGATTGTCTTTTCATTTGGTTTCCTTTGCTATGCAGAAGGTTTTAATGTGATGTAATCTCATTTGTTAATTCTTGCTTTTTTGTTTCCTGTGCTTTTGGAGGAGTCCAATACAGGAAATCTTTGCCTGTGCCAATATCTTAAAATGCTTCCCCAATGTTTTCCTCTGGTCATTTCAGAGTTTCAGGTCTTACTATGAAAATCTGATAATTTTGAATTGATTTTCTTTATATCTTGTGGGTATCCAGTTTTACCAGCATCATTTGTTGAAGAGATTGTCCTTTCTCTAATGTGTTTCTCAATAAAGGTTGAAGAAGTGTTTATTTCTGGGTCTTTTATTCTGCTCTATTGTTCTACATTTATGAATCCCATAGTATGTCTTGAAATCAGATACTGCGATGGCTCCAGCTTTGTTCTTCTGCTCAAGATTGCTTTGACTAGTTGATGTATTTTGTGTATCCATATGAATTTTAGGGTTGTTTTTCCTAAATAGGTGAAGAATGTCATTGGGGTTTTGATGAGGATTGCATCGAATCTGTAGATTGATTTGGATGGTATGGATATGTAATTTTCATACTAGAGTTCTTTCCTACACACACCAGTTTTTTCATTGATATCAGGTCTTGCTGAATTTTTGCACAGGATGGCCTCAAACCTTAATTCTCTAAGTAGCTGGGATTATAGAAATGAGTTGACGTGCCTGGCCAATAATCTACTTCTTTACTTGGATAATTAATTTGTTGAAAATATTAACTTTGTGATAGCTTAATAAACTGTACCATTTTAAACTATGTACTTTTCTGATATGTTTTACCTAAAATTTTTTCACTAAAGAAAACAAAATAATGATATAGAAAATCTGAAACGTATGATTAATAAAAATACCTAAAATTTATAAAGAAATACTACCCTTAGGGGAAGGAAAAGTGATAGAGTTGGCTGAATAACACAGCCAAAAAAAAACCCCAAAAAAACGGTAGATAAAGGGAACTAACACACAGGTCTTTGGTCTCCAAATCACATGACTCTAGTCAACTAAAGTTACACAGCCACAAATCATCAGGGTCTAATATATACAATTATTTTGTTCTTATCCCCACAAGCTATTTCTCCATTACCTCCTAGCTTAAAATTAACAATAGCAACATACAAAATTTAGTAGCTTTTCTATACACCAATAAATGAATTTTCTGAGAATGAAATCAGGAAAATAATCCCACTCAAAATAGTCACACACACATACCCACCCAGGAATAAACCTACCTACACCACACACACACACACACACACACACACACAC